AGGAATCAAAGGCACTCGGCACCTCCCAGGACTGCGCCCCTAGTTTGGGGATGGGAATGGCATTCACTTGAGGAATGGCACTAGCAATATGAAAGGAATAGCTTTAAGTACCGCTGAGCCACTTCATGCACAGAGTGGGCCACCTAGCCCAGCGGGTCCCATGCAGGAGGAAAGAGGCTTATTCACTGTGCAGAGAGTGGCACTGTGCACCCCAACCAAGGAAGGGAATCCACCTCAGTTCAGCTTTCCTGGTTTCCTCTACCTGCTGTATGCTGTTTCCTGCATTTTAAAGGGACAAAGTCTTTTAAAGATTTTAAAGTCTCCTACTTTATTCCCCTTCTCTTTGCACAGTCTCTGTAAATCTCTTCCCTCCCCAGTAATACCTATAATGCCAGCAACCCCATATGCGTGGGTAACCCTAGCCATAACAGCATCTAACGGAACAAACCATGCACCTAAAAGGGAAGGGGAGAAAATGATTTTAAAAAACAGTGTGGTCTCGAGGAGACAACATGGGTAAAAAAAAAGGGTGTTACGGGTGGGCATCCAGGAGGGGAATTTATTTTTTTAAATTATATTTATAGCTATATCTATATGTGTATGTATGGAAAATATGTAGAAAACCCTGTTGCTATCAGGAAGGGAAAAATATGACAAAGAGAGAAAATCCCTATTCCCCTTTTTGCGTCCAATTGCCCTTCATAGTCTCATTGCTTTACAGGAGATGCAGCTCTCTGTTTGGGAGTCGAGTAGATTCCCATGACAACTCCTTGAGAGGAGGAACTGTTCTGAATGTCTGGGCTGGGGAAACACAGAGGACGGTGCAGGGTTGTAGATCTTGATGCTGCCCCTGGAAAATTTCTATCTCTAATTCCTACTCAGTGCAGCTTTCTGAGCTGCGTTACCTCCAGGAAGTGAAAACGGCAGCTCAGTCCTTATGTTACAGTGTTAGTGTTAGATTTCAGCACTGGCCCATGTAAAGAAGCTTTACAGAACCAGCTATTTTTTGTACTGATTTTCTTTTTTTTGGAAATATGCTGAATCCTTAATATATCATTACCTGGAGCTGAGCCTTTACAATCTTTTGTTCTTAGCAACAATCATTCATCCCTGACAATCTTGAGCAATATAGAACCAAATAAAGCCTTCCGGTTTCCATTGCTCTTCCTAGACAGATGCTGGAATCAGGTAGCTTAGAAAGTCTGGTTGTAAAACACCAGGTGGCACAGTAAGGGGCATTATTTCTCTGAGAGCCAAACAAAGTTAACCAAGTGGGAGAGTGCATGTGCGCATATGTGCGTGTGTGTGTATCTGAGAGAGAAAGATTAAATTGATGCATTTCTTGAGAAAGGTGTAAGAATTTCACCTAAAAAGGGGCACATCTGCTTTGTTATTTATAATAAAAGTTAAATTCTACTTTTTTTTTAAAAACAAAAGGACACTGCTAATAATGATAAGG